AATATTGTCTCATGATTCATTCTCATGTTTCACAAATCTGTGCACACACATTTTTTAGTGAATCACAAATTCTCTGTTCATTTTTTAAAAGTGTAAGTAAAAACAACCAATGCCCGTGCCATGTCCAAGCCCCATTCCCCTCCCGCCCCCCCCAAAAAAAACCAACACACAAAAAAACCAATAAAACCACCAAACCCAAACCAACCAACCAACCCACCAAAAAAAAAAAAAAAACAAAAACCCAAAAGCCCCAGTGAAGGACTTCCCCATTCTCCCAACCCCTCCCTGCCTTGGGATGCTTGTGGCATTCCTGAGGGATGCTCCCCTGTGTAGAACAGACAGAATCATTCATCTTGCCGCTGAGCAAAGCTGAGATGGCAGCTGAGGATTTTAATTAAAACAAAAAAGCAGATAAAACCTCTTTATTGTTACTGCGAGTCTTCCTTAAAAAGCACTAGTGTATCACTATAGAATTATTTATCATTGTAATTGTAATGAGGAAGAGCCTTTTCCATTGTCATCAATCTGGCAGTGTCCTTTCTGGTTGTCTCTTCTGCCGTTCTGTAGACATGAATGTTTAACCTTTTCTGTAATATTGGATAAGATACGCAATAATGAAGATAGTCTGGTTTCACAAAGGTCATTTTAATCATATAAATGGATCAGATAATGACAGCCTGCACCAAGGGTAAAAGCACAGTTCTTGATCCACCTGTGAGGAAGTAGTGAGGGGATTAACCCTCTTTCTCCTTTTTCTTTCATAGGAGGGGAGTTCTGTGTTCTGTTAACCACTGAGGGTGGATAACAGCTGGTGCTTTCAGAGCTATTGCTTTAACTACATCCCTCTGACCATTTGTTTGTTCTAAATGAGCAAGTTCTTGGGGGCCAGATGGAAAGCAACTTGGCACTTTCAGAAGGCAGAAACTGCTTTTTTGATTCTTTATACTTTGGCATGTCTATTCTTGGCACTTGTATATAGTCTATTTGGGCCAATCTATCAATTAGCAGCAGTACACTTTTGATATAGAGATAATGACTGGGACATCCTGGGCAGATTGGATGGATTTCTTCCATGTTTGAAAGCATATATTAGTTGCATTTTATGAGCAATATGCACACAAGTTTTGAGTAGATGTCAAAGGATTCATGAGAGTATGAGGAGGAGTCACTGCAGCTGAATCAAGTACTATTTGCTCAAGAAGCCTGAACTGCAGCTGGACTAATGTCCAGAATATGAGGACGCCTAGGAGATATATTTTTACTTCTGATTAAGTAGTATTTGCCACTGCAAAATACTAAAAGCATATGCAAGACTTTGCCTCATTTGAGCTTGAAAATGAGAGGTGGTGATCAATTCTGTATGATATGTAGTTCCTTAGAGGACATTAGGAAGGAAGATGGAACGACCAAGAAGGCCAGCGACACCAACAGGAGTTATACTCCTTTTACAGCTTAACTATTAAGTTATTGCTGCAGTAGAAACGTCCTTATTATTTTTCCTGTTATATTGTCTTTTACTCTTATCATGCATAAAAATAAAATAATTTCAAAAATTACCTAATACCTAGCTGCCGTCTCATCAAAAGTATTATCAATAGAAAGTGTTTCTGCACATCCAGCTCATAACATTTCTGCAAGTGTTCCTTGTCTTTCCCTGTCTTTTATCATAAAAGAGTGGTGCACAAAAGGAAGACAGAAAACTTTGACTTTTTTTGCTGTCCATCTGACATGCTCTTTTGCATCCTCCTACATCTGCATTATCACAGTTGCAGGGTGTTGTAGGTGCAGATAGCTTGAAAGGAAAAAAAAAAATCCAACACAAAACAACAAAAACCCAACCAACCTTGGTCTAAAGACTTGGTTCTGTGTGTTTAGCTGTAAGACCACAGAAATGCCTGACTGGGTAGGAGATGGTACTTAGGGAGAGCATTATCCTTCTGCTACATGTGGCCCCCTTACTTTCTCTGTTCCCCAGCATCTGTAACTGTTGGATTAGGAATCTTCAAGTCATCTCTTAAACATTGACGATAACAGCACATGTAGTAATCATTCTCAATGAAATGAAGTTTGTCATCCAGATGTTGGAGTCTCTTTATACACAGTTCCTGGAAAGACTCAAATTCAGTGGGAACTTAGTGAGCAGCAATTCATTTGCACAGTGTCAGTTTGAAAATGGGGGCACAATTTTGCTGCTTTTCAGGTCAACCTACCTGCTGTGTAAGTGTCTTGAAAGCACTTGAAAAGAAAACAGTTTGAATAGAGTAAAATGAAGCTTGTTTAATACTTTTTAAAAAACTCAAATATGTCTGGTTTTGAAAAACTTCTCTGAATACTCTTGAGTATGCTCATTTATTCAATTTTTGTATGTGGTTTTATTTGGATAACCCTACCAAAAGAATCCAATGCCCATTGTTGCATATAAAACAGAGGTCCGTGAGTGAAAAAAAGTATTAAAGCCCTCTATTTTCTTTTTCTTACTGGTCAAATATTAAATTGGCTGATCAACACATGGACTTAGATAACATGGAGTAGTTTGCATCCAGAGTGCTTAATTTTAAAATTTATTATCCCAAACTCTTAACCATTTACTTCTAAATAGCAATCTGATTTGTAGACAACCTTATTCATTTGGGAAAAAAAGTTGGAAAGTGGAAACTTTCTCCTCATTTATTTGTGAATTGGTTAAGCTGCGTTTTCGGAGAACCTAGTCAGGTGACTTCTGTTGGTATCACAGTTTTATTTTGAAAGTCTAACAGAGCTGTGGAAAAGGGTTTTAAAAAGCATTTGCTGCCCCCCTTCCCTCCCCCCTTTCCCTCCCTATACATACAGGTGGCATTAAAAAAAACACACAGGTCCTTTATCTTCTTACCTGGGAAGTGGCTGTGTGGAACTACAGTAACTGATGCAGTGTATTTTGATGTAGGCAATAATTTTGCTGGCCATCCAGAAGACATAATTTTGTGATATGTGCTCTGGGATAAAATGCACTCATTCACAGATGCAAATCTGGCATAACTTCTTTTGGACTGTCTTTAGTAGAGGTTTTGTTTGTCTGGTTCCAGAGAACTTAAGCTTTCTGGCCATGATCTAGCTGCTTTCTACAGCTGGATTGACATGCATGGTACAGCATGACTTTGACACACAGGTGAGGAACTGCAGACATTACAGGTTTCTCATGTTCAGGAGGTATTCTCTGTAACTGCAATATATGACTCCCCATCCTTTTAATCCAAGAATGACGCTCTTATTTTTCAGGTCACTGTAGAAAAACAATTTTGTTTTCCTTTTGCACTGTGGTAAAATTGGCTAGCAATGGGCTTTATTTGAAAGGGCATTAAATTCTGTCACATAACATAACATCAGCTGCATGGTCTTTTAAGGAGAATAACAGAATATTCTTTGGTCTCCTTCTACAGGATTCCCCTACTATACATGTTAATATCCTAGCTGAATGACACACCACCTTCTTTGCCTGTTTTCCCCCTCAGTAAGAAGCAGTTACAGTAATGTTGCTAATTAGGCACTGTGCATACTGTAGACTATGTAAAGTCCCTGGATATTTTTCCTACCCCTTCCTTCAAGTCTATCTCATTATGGAATATGCTACTTTTACTTCAGTCCACACTGTGACACAGATCAGAGTGGGTGCATCCCCTTGTGCAGAATTTCACTTGAACATGTGCATAACATTTTATTCTGTGTTATGTAGCCACTCCATTAAAAACTGGTCAAAATAAATGCTGCTCATGGGCTATCTGGATGAAAAGATTGATTTGCTTGTGTTGAACAAGCATAGAGAAATAATCTGTGTATCTGATGTTAGGTTTATCAGTGCAGTAAGCTGAGCTGTAGCTGTGCCTCTTATCTCTGTCTTGTCTCTTTTAGTATGTTCAATACGTCTCACTTTTTCTTTCTTCGGTTCCCCTTTTGACAGTTTGGGCAGTGGGCCCAGACCTGATGTGCAACAGGTTCTGCTGTTCTCATTCTGCATTTCTCTGATGTACCTGTGTCAAAAAGCACTCTAGTACTGTACTGAAATGAGCATAGATGCTTGTAATTTAGCACACACCATTATTCAATTTCACTTACCATTTGACATGAGGGAGGTGTTCCAATCCTGTAATCTGAACAATTAATGTTTTAAGTAATTGCCTGTCAGCTGTACTGGGTGAGCAACAAAACTGGACAAATATGGGTAGCACTAATGCTGTTTCCCCAGGAGCATCGTTTGCAAGGGCAACTGTGGGTTTTGCCTTTTAGATAAGAAAGGGCTCCTCTGTCCCTTTTGACCTGTAATTCAGGGGGCGAAGTACACACCTTATAGGCAGGCTGCTTTGCCAAAGAACCTTTAGGGCAGTCAGACAGGTTGGTGAGTGATTGTCTTTCTGTGGTTTTAAATTTTTTTTTAATTATTGTTTTTCAGGGGGTAGAGTTTGAGGTTTCATGGGGTGGCTTTTGGGGAGGCTTTTTTGGTTGTCTTTTTGTCTTTTTTTAATTTTTTTGGACTGGAAGACTTGAAACCAGCCTGGTGTTTGATACCTAAGTCTTGAGAGACCAGTGTGATTAATTTTGAAAAGTATCCCAAGCACCCTGGAGCTGTTGTATATCCAGATTCTTCAGAGAGCAAAATTCTGCTATAATGGCTTCTTTCTAGAGACGTTTCTGTCACTAGCTTGTTTTTCTAATACTGCAGTGTGCTGTACAATGTGACATTTGGAGATGAGTATGATAACCCAAGAGAGATTTCTACCCCTGTTTTAAATGCATGTGACCTCTGAGCTCTGCGGGGGAAGGCACTTTGCTGAGTGGAAGGGTTTGTGACCCTGACTCCCTCTGAGCTGGATAGGTGTAGGTGTGAGAGTTGATTACAGGTCATAATACACCTACACAATATATTAGTCTGTATCACACCAGGTTGATTTGGGTGACTTTTCCCATTGAGCAAATATTAAACTAATCGAGGGTCTGGCTTTAACTGTCGTACCTATCACCATCCCCAGGCAAGGGACCTGAAACTCTTTATGCTGGACAGAAACTCAATGACAACGAGTGGCACACTGTCCGGGTAGTTCGGCGAGGAAAAAGCCTCAAGCTGATGGTGGACGATGATGTCGCGGAGGGTAAGTGTCGTGTATGAGTATTTTTTGTTGTTGTCTTTGTATCTCTGTTCCCGGTCTCTGCTCTTAAACCCATATTCCCTGTTCTTTTATATATCTTTATTTTTTCCCCCCCTTCTTGTTACTTCTTGTATGTTTAGTGTTACTATGTTGAAACCTAATGTTCAGTTCTGAGAGACTAACTGTTAGGCAGCACAAGGAGCTTTTCTGAGAACTAGAACAATATGACACGTGGGATTAGGGAACTAAGGAGCTTGCACATACCCAAGAATGCAGAGGTGCTAAGCAGCACACTGTCTTGTACCAGTCTCTTTGGGGTTCGCTGCAGGTATACCTCATTCCTGACCCACAATGTGGCAGTTTCCAATGCTGTGAAATCAAAACCAACGATGCAACGCTGATGTGGGTGTGCTTGTTTAGCTGTGACCCATGCTTTTTCTCTCAGTGCTGACATCCTCTCTTCTGAGTAGCTTCTATTCAGAAGCCAACTAGAAGGAAGAATATCCATAGGCGGTGTCAGGATATTATATCCTGTATCTGCAAAAAGTTATTTTCTGCTGAATGAAATTAATGTTAAATAATGTGGCAATTAGATTATTTGGAAAGCCACGAGTCAGGATTTTGAAATAAACCCAAAGTAGTGGGTTTGTAGGAAAATGACTTGATGTATGTTTTCCCTCATAAATATATGCTGTTCTATGTAGGCTGAGAATTTGCAAGAGAGAATCAAAAGCGTAAGAAAGAGTAATCATTCCCTCTCCTTGTTGGAAGGGAGAGGAGGCTTCATGGTTTGGTTGACATTAGCTTGTAGGAGAATGAAATTTTATTTAAGAGGGAACTTTCTGAATTAGTGAAACATGCTGGTAGACACTTCATCCTGATTACTTTTGCATTTAAGGAGTCTTCTGGATATGCTTTTTTAGCAGGCACCATGAGGTGGCACTCTCTGCATTACCAATCCCCAAAAAGCCATCTGTTTTTGAAGTTTCTCTTTCACAAGACTGAGTTTATAAATAATTATGATACAATCCTATACTAAAATAGGTTGTGCACATGTAGATGTATATGAACTACATAATTAAAGATACATTACAGCTAAAAATATCTGTTAAAAGAATGCCATCGTGGCACAGTCAAAAGTCAGAAGAGCCAGAATTAAGATTTTTTTGTGCAATCTGCATCCCACTTCCTTGGGCAGATGATATAGTCTTCAATGATGTGGTCACATAGATCTTTCCACAGGATTCTTGCTGTCTTTAAGCATAGATCAAAAGTCTAAATTGGGCCTCCAGTAAAAATAAGCAGTCTGTTTGATTGCTTCCTTCTTTCTTATTGCTTGTTTGGAACAATGCAAGCCAATTAAATTTTGCTCTAAATATAGAGCTGGAGTGTTGGGGTGTTTTTGTTTGTTTGTTTTGGGATTTTTTTTTGTGTGTCGTGTGCTACGCATCGTTTTTGTTTGTTTGTTTTGGGATTTTTTTTGTGTGTCATGTGCTACGCATCAATATATCTGTATAGAACTCAGAAGCTGTAACTGGATTTATTCACATGTCTGTGTTATATGAAGTGAGTAGGCATCTTTTTCCCATTTTACAGGTACCAGTCTGGCATGATTTTTCAATCATTTGCATGCACAAATATTCAGCATGTCTGTAGACTGGATCCTGTAAATTAGCTCAACCCTGCTACTTGGAGAATTAGGTCTAGACAATTAATGACCACCTGTGAAAAATTTGTAATGAAGTGACTGACTTGGCTTCTTGCAGGACATGTAAGGTAGAGACAGAATCCAATTTCTCTGGACAGCATTTTGCTGCTTAATCACAAACCCCTCCTCCCCCATTTCCCCCCACCTCAGAACAGACCTCAGAACACGAGTGATAAATGAGACACAAATATAGTAATCATATTCGTCCCTACAACGTCTTGCTAGCACACAAATACTGCAGCGGAGGCTGGAATTTTTTCCATAGGCTGCCACTTGAACTAAAGAGCTGGTGATTGCTGTTCTAGTTACAATACTGTCTATAGAGCATAGCAGAGGAAGTAGAGGTGAACTCTACAGGCAGAACTGACAGCTAATTTCACTCCTTGATTTCTTAGGAAAATACGTTTCTGTCCTGCTTCTAGTCTTGTATTGTCATGTCCTTTCCAGCTTTTCACTGAGCTACTCATAACTTTCTGCACCACCAGGGCTATCACTGTCCTCTTTTTCTTAAGCTACTCCCAGTTTTTTAATTTTTCAAATTGTCTAAAATTATGGGTTTACCTGTTCCAACCTCTCTCACTCCATTTCTAATGCCTCCTTTATTTGGGTTCCCTGTCCCACTGTACTCTAGATTTCAGAGGTCTGGTTTTTCTATTCTACTCTAACAAATTCTTTGCATTTATCTAAGAGTAGCAGAACTAAGGAGGAGAGTTTTCTTGCTTTTGGTCCTTGACATCTCTACACTTTATCATTCTAATCTTTTGAAGTAAACAAGCAGGATTTTTTTAAAAAGTGATAATTTTTTAAAAAATTTATTTTTAGGAAAGTACAATTCTTCGGGTTTGGAAAAATCAGAAATTTTCATTTGATAAAACTGAAACAGCCCCTTAATCACAGTAGTGGCAGTGAAATGGTTTGTCTAAACCAACTTTCCCATATACAGTTTCAGTTCCTGTGAACTGGCATTTTTCAAAATAAATTATTATTATATCTAGTAAAGAACTGTTTCAGGATTTAAAAACATTTGCATTGGTACTGAGTCTTGAATTTCTGAAGAGTCAGAAATATGTGACTCTTTTCACCTGCTTGTGTATTTATCCATCTGTATCTGCTTGGCTTGAAGCTTTCCATGTCAATAACTTTTTAATAATTGTCTTTAAATTTAGATCTGCTGTTAAAATTGTGAATAATTGAAAAAATAAATTGTTTTGTGTAATTTTTTTCTCTTCATGTTTGGAATAGATATATGAAAGCTTTTTTTTTTTTTAGTAACAAATTTGCTTGTTTGCTTTTTGTCCAAATGGGATCAAGCTTTTGCAACGTGTAAACTGAAGCGTTGCACTTTATCCATGTTCATAAGAGGTGAGGTAGGGAATATTTCAGTGTTTCAAGAGGACCTATGCAACAGAGACCATCGGTTCCTTTAATCTGACTTTATATACACCACAAGCCAGGATGTATCATCTAAATGTCTTATAAAGGTTTTCAGCTTTCATTATATCCCCAACAGAAAAAAAAAACCAAAGCAAAACAAAGAATATTTTGCAAATAGTAGGAAAAGTCATGAGAAGCCTATCAAAATATCTTTTTTTTAACTCTGTCTTTTAATGCCTGAGAACTGTTCAGGTGAGAAATGCTAGGAGATTTCAGGAAATCGTACAGAATATAAGGAAGCTTGTAAGTCCCAGTTTATATGACCTGGGGGATCTAAAAGAGGAGTTTGTCCTGGACTAAGCTATGGTGATTGGTGTGACTCCCAGTTGTAATCCTGATGGCTCAAATACCTCTTGCAGTGGCTAGTCAGGAGTTGTGTATATATGCTAACTGACCAGCAAATACAATCAAGCAGGTTATTATTGCTAAATTTTGTCTGTCTATAGCACATTGGAAGCATTAAATCAGGTCTTTATCCAGGTGTCAATTTTTCACAAAACTAGTATGAATTTATATGTTTTTGACCCTTCTGTTCTTTTAAACCTGATTGAATTTGACCAGTATGTTAAAATGTTGTTGGAGGCAGAGGGACCAACAAGTGTGGCAATTTCCTTTGGAAAACCTAAAATCAAGAATTTTACCTGTTGTCCTGGGTTAAGCTGAGACAGAGTTAACTTTCTTCATAATAGCTAGCAAGAGGCTGTTTTGGATTTGTGCTCAGAAGAAAGCTGATAAAAAGTGATGCTTACGCAGCTACCAAGGTCTTTCAGTTTCTCTGGCTGTCTGCAGACCAGAAAAGCTGGAAGGGAGCACAGCCTGAATTAGTAGCCCAGGATTTGATCTTAGGTTTGGGATTGAGACCAGAGTGGCCAATAATCTATTCCATAACATAAACGTCATGCCCAGTATATAGGTGAGGACCCTCCGGAAGATCGGCCCCTTTTGGTTCCAGATCTCTTTTGCTCCGGGTCATCTCTCTCCAGGTGGTCACTCTCCCAAGGCCTTCCCTCTCCTCCTCAAGTCAGCTCTCGGTCTGGGACACTCAGACTGTTATCTCTGTTCCATGAGTGCGGTTTCGGGGCTCTCCCTGCCCTGGGATCGTTAGCTGGGAACAGGCTGAGCCTTGGCAATTGGGTGGGGGGGGGCAGTATCACTGTGTATCACTCATTTGTATATAGTATTATTTTCAATATTATTGTAGCTTAGTTATTGTTCTTATCTCAACCCACAAGTCCTTTTTTCCCTTTACACCTTTAATTCTCTCCCCTATCCTCAGGTGAGGGGGGATTGGGTGAGTGGGTGTGTGTGAGTTGGCTCCCAGCAAAGGGAAAACCCATCACACTTGTGCAATAGTTATATTAGCAACTTACTAGAAGGTTAAGTAGAGAAACATGCAAAAGTAAGGAAAAGTTGGAAGTAGATAGGTCTGTGTTTGTATGCATTTTGATATTGTCTAATTTCATATTTGCTGCTATCCTTTTTCCACTGGGGTTTTGCTTCCCTGCTTACATTAAGAAGGGACAGTACAGCAAAGGGGTTGACATAAGTCTTTGTAGTAAAGGAGGTGCTTATTTCTAAGATCCTCTTTGAAAAGTCTGTAGTGAATGAGACAGAATGGTAAAAAGAGGAAAGGGACCTCTATGTAAGGCATGTGAATACAGCTGAGAGGAATTGACTTCTTTACCTTACAGTTCCTAAGGAAAGCTGGATAAGTGACTTGAAGTCAAATCTTTCACTTGGGGGGTACTCATTTGGGATTGTGGATCTTATTTCTGTAAGTGCTGACTCCATAAGTGCTCGCTTATCCTCCCCCCTCCTAGAGATGGGGGAGAGAATTAAAGGGAAAAAGGGAAAAGAGACTCATGGGTTGAGATAAGAACAATTTAATAACTAAACTACAATAATGAAATTTATAATGACAATAATAATAGTAATATATACAAATATACTAATGAGTGATACACAGTGTTACCGCTCACCACCCAATGACCAAGGCTCAGCCTATTCCTGGCTAGTGATCCTGGAGCAGGGAGAGTCCAAAAGCCACAATCCTGGAACAGAGATAAGAGCCCAAGAGTCTGAGGGACTGAAACGACCCTGAGAGAGCGGCAACCCAGAGGGAGACAACCCAGAGCAAGAGAGAGAACTTCGGGACAGCTCCTCATCCGTATTGTGGATGGAATCCACCAAATTGGATGCCAGTACTTCATTTTTGAGATCCAAAACTATGTTGATCTCTCCATTCCTTAGGTTTATGTGTATAAAATTGAAAGTAATTCTTAATCTTGCAGGAGTTGCAGTAGATGAAGTAAATATTTGAGGACAATTTGCACACTGTGCTGCTGCACTTGTGGGTTGACTGTGGCTGTCTGCCAGACACACACCCAGCCGCTCTCTCACTCCCTCTCCTCGATAGTACAGGGGGGAAGATAGGATGAGAAAGCTCATGGTTCAAGATGAAGAGATAGGGAAATCATTTGCCAGTTCCTGTCATGAACAAACCAGACTTGACTTGGGGAGAATTAATTTGTCACCAATTAAAAATAGAGTTGGAGGGTGAGAAGCAAAGACGAAAAGTAAAACACCTTCCCCCACCCCCTCCTTTTCTCACATTTGCTCCTTCATTCCTGGTTCTTCTACCTCCCCCCTCCCCCCAGTGGTGCAAGGGGATGGGTAATAGTGTCTGTGGTCAGTCTGTTAACAGCTCCTGTCTGCTGCTCTTTCATCCTCATGCTTTTCCTCTGCTCCAGTGTGGGTCCTTACCATGGGTGGCAGGACTTCCTCAAGTGCTCCAACATGGGTCCTCTCCACAGGCTGTCAGGAAAACCTGCTCCAGTGTGGGCTTTCCATGGGCCCCAGTTCCTGCAGGAAATATCCCCTTGCTCTGGCACAGGGGTCCTCCATGGACTGCAGTGTGGGTGTCTGCTCCACCACAGTTTTCTCCATGGGCTGCTAGAGAATTCCCACTCTGGTGCCTGGAGTGCCTCCTCCCCCTCCTTTTCTGGCCTTAGTGTTCACAGGGTTGTGTGGTGTTGTTTGTTTTTTGGTTTTTTTTTTTTTCCCCTCCTTTGTTCCTCACTCATGGGCAGCATTTTGTCCTTTCTTAAATGTGTTTTTACAGAGGCACTGTCATCTTGGCAAGGGGGTCAGCTATGCCCTGCAGTAGGTCTGTTGTGGAACCCTCTGGAAGAAGCTGTGTCTGGCACTGGGCAGCCCCTGCCTCTGCTCACAGAGAGAGGCTGGCCTGAAGCCACCCCTCAGCCAGTACCTGGCCACATAAACTCAATACAATACTGCAGAATATTTCTTGAGCAAAAAAATAATGCCACATTTGTAGCAGAGTTTGAATAATGGTTGTACATTGAATGATGAGAAAACAATTAAATGTTGCATAGTTGTTAATGAATTTAATGTTATTCCTGTTGTATACTAAATGGCACAAGGTCTGTGTAGAGAGGATACTTGCTTGTGTGATGAAATGGTTAAAACTATCTTAATGGAGAACTATAGAGGACTAAAGGTTTGTGGTAATGGTTTTCATTCTGATATTGCCCAACTTGTCTTTTTACTCAAACTAGTCTTTTAGCATACTGTTGTATTTCATCCGTCTGTGGGGGTCCTGTGTCTGTGCTGATGCTTAGCACACTTACTGAAACATTTAAATATGCTTCAAGAGTAGTCTGACATCGTTGGTATACTGAAGATCTTGAATATTTTAATTGAGAGGTTAAAATCCATCACAATGTGACAAACAGCCCAAGTGGGAAGTTGGTGATTTAAATATACAAAGGGCTTTTTGCCTGTTACATTCTTTTGTGTTTCCCTCCTGTCGTGCTCTTAAAACCAGAGAAATAACATCAGGCACCAGGAGAGAGTAACGGAATAAATATTAGCAGGTTTGTGACGGTTTTAACTTCTTGTTCTGCTCTTTGTATATTAATCTATGTTTACTGTGTTTTTTCCGGAAGCACACTTGTAAGAGTTGTTTCAGAAGTGTCCAAGTTGCTTGGCAGATGGACTGTTGGATCACACAGATCACTGTAGGCTTTACGGGAGAGACCTGGTCTTCTCAGACAAGAAAGTGTGAAGCACAGGGAGGAATACAGAGCTTGCTGCCCATGGCCCTTCAGGTCCTGTCTTTTCTCTTCTGCCAGGTTTTGGCAACTGCTAGATTCAAGCCTCCCCACCAAGAGTCCATACATTCTTTCTTGTGCAAGCTGCTGAACAGTGATCAAACAGGATTAAGTTAGCACTGCTATTAGTCTGGAAAGTGGAAGATGAAGGGCTCTGTATAACCTGTTACTGATCCCTGGGCTTTCTGCATGTTCCTCCTTGCTTCTGTCCTTCAGGCACAATGGTTGGTGATCACACCCGCTTGGAGTTCCACAACATTGAGACAGGGATCATGACGGAGAAACGGTACATCTCTGTCATCCCCTCCAGCTTCATTGGCCACCTCCAGAGCCTCATGTTCAACGGGATGCTCTACATTGACCTGTGCAAGAATGGTGACATTGACTATTGTGAGCTGAAGGCACGCTTTGGTCTCCGCAACATTATAGCTGACCCTGTGACGTTCAAGACCAAGAGCAGCTACCTGAGCTTGGCCACCTTGCAGGCCTATACATCCATGCACCTCTTCTTTCAGTTCAAGACCACCTCAGCTGATGGGTTCATCCTCTTTAACAGTGGTGATGGCAATGACTTCATCGCAGTTGAACTAGTCAAGGGGTAAGTGAGGTTTCTGTCATATTCTACCAGCTCATTTATAGAATAACGTATAACGTATAGGTAAGCTTAAAATGCATATAGAGAAATTTACCTCACACTCATTTTTTCTCTGTTTGCTGAGGTGTATGAAAAAGCAGTTAAACACTGAAGCTTAAGACTCCTGATTTTACCACTAACTTTCTCCTGTGGCTGAGGAAAAGACTTTTCTAATGTGAAACATTACTGTTTGAAATCCTTCAGATCTGTTTTGTCCTGTCCTGTCCTGTAAACATTGCAGAATAGCATGGAGGAGAAAATATGCTGAGGTCTCTGAGTCCCTCTTCAGCCCCCACCCCATAACAGAGCTGTTGTGTTTCTGCCACCTCCACTGAAGTAAAAAAAGAGCATATGGGCTCCTGAATTTGTATTTCTGCTCATGATGCTTGAGGAGAAGCAAATTTGGCTTGCTTTTGAACCACTATATTCTTTTTGCAACACCAATAGCTTATTAAAAAAAAAAAATCCTTTGTTATCTGAAGAAATTTTGATCTTTTAGACCCATGTAGTCACAGTAGACGTGTTTTCCACAAGTAGAGTTTACTAATCCTGTTTATTTCAGTATAACTGTAGTTCAGTCTGTTTCATTTTTTACTTTACACTTGTTTCTGTAAGTGGGACATATAGTAAAAAAAAAAAAAAAGTAAGAGTCACAAGCTCCTGGTGCTCTGAGGGTTGAATTTTGTTGTCTTTTTTTCCTTTTCAAAGAATATTTCTTTTCTATTCTCAGGTGGATTTCTGTGTTTGAAATATCTAAATAATTCAGGGTAACACTCTCATGACTTCAGTCTGCATTAGGGTCTTTATTTTTTGCCAAAAGCTTTGCTAATTGTTTTCCAGCTGGTTGAAAGAGCCTAGGAGCTCATCTGATTTTTAGTGCAATATTTGGAGTGAGTTTCCCAATTAACTTTTTAAGGGAGTTATTAAAACCTCAGAATGAATCTGGGGAATATATGCTCTAAATAAGCATGTCTAGTGATGCCCTCTAGTACACGTATTGATCTTGCCAATTAAAAAAAAAAAATTATATGCACAGACAGGGTTTTTCTGGATATATAAGAACTTTGTCGAAAAGAGGAATGCTTTCTGGTTAGAATCTGATTACTCCAAATGTCATAATCTCAAAATACTAGTCCTTACACTTTCTTGGTGGAAAGAAAACAACTATTTTCAAATTGATGGCAAATATTTTGGCTTGCTAGAACTTTCTAACCCAGAGATACTTCACTTCATGACTTTTGTAAGTTATTTAATTCTAGCTAGAATATGGGTCAATAGTATTGGTGTTCTTGCACAATTTTAACTAGTTCTTGTTATGTTTGCAGGTATATACACTATGTGTTTGACCTTGGAAATGGACCTAATGTTATCAAAGGCAACAGTGATCGTCCTCTTAATGACAACCAATGGCACAATGTCGTTATCACCAGAGATAACAGTAACACACACAGCCTGAAGGTGGACACTAAGGTGGTCACTCAGGTTATCAATGGTGCCAAAAACCTGGATCTTAAAGGTAAATTCTACAAGATTGACAGACCCCCCCCCCCTTTATTCTTGTGGGGCTCAACCAGTAAACAAGAGAAATCTTGGAGAAACCATGTGTTACAGAACAGTAAATCTGGAATTTGCTGATTTTGGCTTTCAATTTCATTTTTCTCTTTCTCTGTTTGGCAACTTACTACAGCAGTATAGTTTGTCCTATTTTGCATTTCCAGAAATTGATTGTCATCCTATAATTTTTGATAGGATGCCATTACAACTCTGTGGTTGGTTTTTTTGTTTGTTTGTTTGTTTGTTTGTTTGTTTTTTTGGGGGGAGGGGTGGGGTGGTGGTGGTTTGGGTTTGGTTGGGTTTTTTTGTAGTAAAGGATGCAGAAATTACTTCTTGTGTAATATCTTGCTCTGCTTTTAGCCTTTCCTGAGCAGCTGTTCAGCTTGCTGTATTCACGTCTGGGTGGGGAGGGAAGCCGCTTTAGAAGCTATGTAACTTCCTCCTTCTTGTATGTTTACCCCTTTCTCCTCCAGGTGATCTCTACATTGCTGGCCTAGCTCAAGGCATGTATAGCAACCTCCCAAAGCTAGTGGCCTCACGTGATGGATTTCAGGGCTGCCTAGCATCTGTGGACTTGAATGGGCGTCTGCCTGATCTAATCAATGATGCTCTGCACCGCAGTGGGCAGATTGAGCGTGGATGTGAAGGTATAATTGATGTTAGAGAAGGTCCACTTTCAAGCACTCCCCTCTTACTTTGTTGCTGCACCCTGTGCATCTACTTGTCCACCTTACTGTCCATTTCATTAGTTTGCTTTCATGGTGTCGTCGTCCTTCGCTATGCTTATGTCTTCCAAATGCAGCTAAAGGATAGCTAGCTTCTGTGAGTGGCTTAGCAGCTGTTCTCTTGCATGCTTCATCCCCTCTGAGGTGGTACCTGCAGTAGTGGAAAACATGGTACTGGGATGGACTACTATTTACTAATTCTTTTCTCACTGCAGTATATTAATGTTACAACACTCTTAAAATACTTGGAGAGGGGTTCTGAGCCTTCAATTCAGTTGTGCTTCAGAGCACCCTTTTTTTGGGACCAACAGAAGTAAGTATTTTGAAGACCAAGTAAAGGCAGGGGAAATGGAAGATAGAAGGAACTGAGGGGTGAAGACTGGACCAAAGCAGGAGTTCTTTTTTGAGGAGGCAGGCCTACAATGAAAGCACTGAGAACTATTCTCCAGTGTTCTCTGCTGTCTAGAAAACCCTTCTCTTCTGTAGCTTCTCTTTTCCAACTGGTTTAGAAACAAGTGTTCTGAGTGACTTTTTGAAGCCTGTAAATAGTAGTGACTTCTTGAAGCTTCTTTAAATAACTTACTGTTCTTGCTAAGCTCCCATTAGTTGAATATTGACATCAGCAGCATGGACTCAGTAACACGCACATGGCATCAATTCCCAAAGCACTTAAATTACTTAGCTTCAAAAAACCCAAAGTTTTGCTGGCTGGGGTAAATAAAAATCACTGTTATGTCTATCTGAATACCAGTCTGCTGTGTTGGCTACCAGTCACTAGAGGAATCAGTACAGTTGTCTGGTATGCATGTTTTCTAAGAAGATGTATGTCCCTAACTGACAAGACTTCATAAAGTGAAATTAGTTCTTGGTCATGTTTCCCTACTGTGTCAAGATTACATGTTACATCATGCTGAAGCCTTGCCACTTGTCGAGACTGCCCCTTCTTAGAACTGAAAGTATCATCTAAGTGCTGTCTTTGAGCATTCATGAAACACCAAACTGGCAGTCCAGTCCCTTCCTTGTCTCCCAGTGTTCTGGTTGGCCGGGAGCTCCTGTTGGCTGGGCCCTCACCCCTCCTTCCACACTCCCACAATAATACTCTAGTTTGTGAGAATTTTATATCCTGTCACAAGAGCTCACTCAATACCAATTCCAATTTCACAGCACTGGTAAGTGCTGCACAGCTGTAGGCTGGTTTTTTTTTTTCTCCTGCCTTTCTGCTGCATTTAATAGTGTCTGTTAACTGCACTGTTCCTTGTGGAAGTGACCATAGTGTGGCAGAACTTGTGGCTTTGCCTGTTTGTGGCATAGCCAAAATGTCAAAAGAAGTGCACCTTTTCTGTGTTGTTGTTTACAAGGTTCAAGGGGGGGAAAAAAAAATATCAATTTGAGGTTTTTTGAAAATGTCTTCTCTGATTACTGTTGGTGCACTGAAAGCTGTTCTTTAATATTGGTGATTTCTGGTAATTTTGCTGTTTAAAATTAGCTTAATCTGTTGGCTATGTAGCCTTAATGTTATCTCTACTAGCTCTTCTCCTTCAGAGGACCTGTCATTAGACTAACCTGTTGTTCTGTGAGTGGCTCAGGAACAGACTCATTATGCTTTCCTAGAAGACTCTGCACCTTTGTTAGAGCTATGGGGTTTCCTTCTCCAGTTGCCAGTGTAGTTCTTTTCTTTGGTGTCCTTTTCTGGAGGTTGGGTAATGTCAGTGCCACTCCAAAAACATGTAACACACACTTTGTGTGCCAGTCTGGTACCAGTACAGCTGCTGTCTGAATGTGGATATTGGTGTGCTCTTAGAAATGTCAGGAATGCGAGTACTACTTCTCTTTTAAAGACTTTTAAACAAGATTCAGAACTGGAGACAGACCTGAAAAACTGGGTGGAAAGGTCAGTGACAGCCCTCATTCTGCCTTTGGAAGATCTTGATCCTGCAAAGCAGTGCCCACGCTATCTTCTTGAATGGTCCCTGCTCAGTACCAAGGGAACTACTGAAGAGGAAGCCATTCTCTTTGCCAAAATGTTTAGGGTTAGTAAAAAACCTGAGGAATAGGTCACCAGAGCTGTTTCATTTTTTTTTTCTTTTTTTGTGAACCACAACAATTCCCAAGGCTGAGTCTCACATCTTGATTGCTTCCTACTGGTGCCTATTCCTACAGTTGCCACTGAGGATCATACCTACCTCCCGTTTCTCTAAGGAAAGAAAAATTCTAATCATGTTCCATTCGTGTTTAAGTCTCTCTATTTTGTTTTCATCTTGGGTGATCTTAGGTGTGGTCTTAACAATGTTTTGAAGGGCTGAAGTCCCAAGCAGTTCTTGCTGTCTCATGATGTTTAAATGTGTTTGTAATAAACAAATCCAGGCTTTTTGGGCGAATAGTTGTGCTGTGTGTTGATTTACAAGACATCCTTATTTCATCATGAAGGGTAGTGGGACCATGTACACGATGAGAACGTGCATGCTTAAAAGGATGTCATTCTATCCCCACATACGAATCTTGCCTTCCAAATGCATTGTGGGAGAAATTTCCACTTGTCTTTTATTGTGGCTTGGCTTTCAGAAGCAGAGATTACAAGGTGGCAGCCATTTTCTCTGAAACTCAGTTTGATTTTGGGACAGAATCAAAGGATGTAGAGAGGAAGGACGCCTGGATAATAGTAGAATGTGAAGTGTAGGTCAGCAGACAGCACTGTCCCACCTAAGACCAGTGCCACTGCAAATGGGTGACATCGTTGCATCCTGTTTACGTTTGTTATCTCTATCCATGTATTTCAGTACCCTATTCCATATGAGCAAGTAAGATTTTTTTTTTTTTTAACAGGAAAATAATATTGTTTGTCTTGGTTCTACTGCCACCTCCTTTTATTCAGTTTGAGCATGTCATTGAACTTCCTCAGCCACATTGTTCCTCTTCTGTGCTGGAGCATAATTCAGCCTTTCTGTGCACCAAAGCACAAACCTACCACATTATCCAACTAGCTGCATTCCAGTGATGGGTGAGGCAGTGCTCCTGTTTGAGCAGGAGCAGGAAGCACTTTTAATATAAATTGTATTTATGTGAGAACTTTTTCCTTAGGACCTGGGGTATCCCAAAGCGTTCTTTGGCCATATATAGGAGTCGCTAACTGACATGCAGGCATCCTTGGAGACTGAAAGTGGCTGGTATTTAATAGTGCATAGTAGTGCTAAAAAAAAAAATAGCAGTTCAAGACCTGAGGCAAGTGTTACTTGATATCTGATTGCCTATCAGTTTTATTCTTATAATTTCTTTAAATTAACTATGGTGGGATTTATTTAGGATAGCACATCTAAGTAACCTCTTTTATGCTGTTTGTTACCTGAAGTGTCAGCTTCCTTTCTCATTATGGAGCTTTCTTGTGTGCTGTACGAACTTAAGGTTTCAGCTTTTGAAGTCTGACACTCAGTCACCAGTGTGCTGGACAAGGTGTTAGCTGCCACACTGACATGTTTTGTGTTTTGATGTGTCCTGTAGGACCATCTCTTTTGGCAAAGAATTTTGTGGATGATTATCTGGAAGAAGAGAACTCAAGAGTGTCTTAAATGTTACATGAGCCCACGGAATTAAGGCTCCACAGAACACCCTCCCTTCTTTTTTGTGTGGTGGTCTGGTTTATTTTTGTTGCTCTTCTGCATTGCTGCATTTCTGATTTTTCAGGAGCAACAGGCAGCTCTTCATTTCAATGCTCTTAATTGATCTTGAAGGCCTGGTAAGATCGGTAGTGGCAGCTTGTGTTTCCCTGGAAGGTATTCAGCAAAGTCAGAAACCTTCCTGCTGCCTGGTGTGTACGATCTGTTCTGGGTTGATGCGCTTGCTACACACAACTGTGAGAAGAATGAAGTTTCAGGATAATGCCACTATACCAATATATTTATTCATTTTCTACAGAATATCTTTCACTCTCATGCTAACTGCAGATTTTGTCATCTTTTATGTAACAAGAGGGCCTTTCCCCCTACCACCACACAAAAAAAGGTGGTTGGTGAGAGGGCCTGAGAGAAAAGGTACAAAGCTACAAAAAGGAAGTGGTTAGGACTTAAATGGTCTTTATGTCAGTGTTGGGTCAGGCTACTGAACATTCTGAAAAGACAAAGTAAATTCTCAGAAGGGACTTCATGTTGAGGGCCCACTTCTATGAGAAGCTTGCAGTCAAGTCTGCCACCTACTTTGAGCCTTTCTCTCCCCACCCATAAAATGGGTGCATGGTATTCATTATTTGAAATAGGAGTATGAAATTCAACTATGTCTTGCAGAGTACTTTGAAGTAGCGAGGGGAGGCCCCTAAAGATTAGCAAAGCCTTAGAAACTGAAGAAAAGAAGCCTTCCCTTGTGAACTGGTTGTCTCCATTCTCCAGCTCAACAGCCTGTGAACTGTGGTTGGAAATTTTTATACAGCTCCTGAGTTTGAATAATACAGGCTATTTCTGTTTCTACGTCAGACATACCCGGCTTCAGAGAGAAGATGTCTGCACTGTGCTGTGTGTGCAGAAGTTGGAGGATAGAGGAAGTTGTTCCAGGTGAACTTGTTTCCCTCCTTGAAAGTAAACCAGTTTAAACTTTGGATCAGCTCCTCCTTGATTCTAGACTTCTAGAATAAATCATTTTTGCTGAGTACTTTATTCTTGGTCTTACTACTAGATGAATGGATCAGTTTATTCCATTTACAAAAGTCAAGATTGAGTGACTCGCTGCTTTTTTCTTCACTAGTCCTGGAAGTAGTTAAGCAGATATCCAACCTTTTGTGGAGTTTAAAGATGTTGCCCTAAATATTAATGAATACTTCCTGCATTTGGTGTGTTTTTTTCACCTCTTTATTTATTTGCCTTATGTTCTCCTTTGTTTTTCTCTCTTTTATTTGGACATCCTTATGCTGCTTACCCTGGGCACTAGAGCTAGCTGAA